GTATTGTGTATGTAGTTATTGTATGCAATACTCTGTTTTGTGCCTTTGTTTTACTAAAATAAAACACTTTATTTAATCAATTATTTCGATAAATGAAATACAAATAAAAATTGCTAATGCTAAAAAAAGTTTCAATTTTAAAATTAATATAATAAAACAAAACTCATTTCAATAAAATACTATAACAAATACTCTCGTTTCACTTTTAATGTCAAAATCACATTAAATCACTTCTCACTCCCACCTCTCTTCCGGTTATTTTGTAAATTTGAATAAATTGTTATAAAAATTAATAGAATATTATGTATTATAAGTCCCATTAAAAGTAATTAATATAATACTGTAAAATAATAACAAATTATGATTAAAATATAGTCATAAACTAAGCCTAAAATTATGATTACAATTAGAATAAAATATTATCTCAACAATTATTTAAGATTTAAATAGTTTGTTCAAGAATTCATTAACATTGAATACTGGGTAACTCTGAAAACATAGTTTTAGCGCTTTTTAAAACTCCAAATTAATCACAAATTCGCTCACAAATTAAATTTTTGCCTAATTTCTCACAAACCAATACCACTTAAGGATTCACTCCGTTATTCAATTTGGAGCTCTTCTTCCACTCAGTCTTCGACGACAAGTTATACATCGAGAACGACGAGTCATTGGTTACCTCTTTGACAATCGTCAGGAATTGCGGTAATTTTGGAGTACATTCTCTACTCTTTAACGTCGTGTATGTCTCCAGTAGTATAAGCCCTTCGCACCGCTGATTGCATGGATTCTTATAGATATCCATCTGGAAGTACGTGTCCTCCCATAGGAAACACCGCCGAGTTTTGTAAACAGTTAAGTGAGTGTCGTCTCTCTGGGCCAACATATGCTGTGTGTGGGTGTGTGTGTGGGGGGACAGACACCACAAATACGTTAAACTATACGTTAAACAAATACGGGTATCAATGCTTACGATATAATCTCTGTGAGTGATCTGTCGCCTCAGTTCCACCGCTTTATCTCCGGCATCACTGCGACGGACGGTGTGTTGATAACTCCATTTGCCTGAAGGGGACAACCAGTCAAACGCTTACAA